ACCATAGGATGAACTGTTTAGCAGACATTAGACAGAACATTTTCCCGGAATTTTATAATTTTACAAGCGCCACACTGCAATGGACCAAGGTATAAATATTACATAAAAGTAGATACAATGACTCATCAAGTAAAAATATTTCGGGCTACAGCCTCATCGTTATTTTCTGTTCTCCTAAAAATACAACCAACTTCCTGAAGATTTAATAAGGTCCACAGAGAAGGGCCTTTGCTCAAAAGTTTATGGTCGTCCGTCTGTTAAAGCAATTCCCCACTTTTATCAAATCCGTCCTCACAACAGCCTGCCACCAGTCCCTAACCTGAGCCCGATAAATCCATTCAACACCCTCCAATCCTGTTTCCTAAGCTCCATTTTACTATTATCCTTCCATCTACATTTAGGTCTTCCGACTGCCTCTTCCATTCAGGCTTTCCGACGAAGATGTATGCATTTCTCACCTTCCCCTTGCGCGCTACATGCCCCGCCCACCTCATCTTAATAATATTTGCTGAGGGTAGAAATTATGGAGCTCCTCATTATGAAGACCTCTCCAGCATCCTGGGACTTAGGTCCAAATGCTGATTCACTTATTTACTACTGCTTACTTCTCGCCTCTCTGTTTTTGTGTCTGCCGATTTTCCTCTCTTCTTTCTGTCACCTTCGTTTATCCTTTTCTTCCGTTTTGCCTTTCTTTTTCTCCCTTTGGACAGATAATTTCCTCTGCCTTCTTTTATCTTCCTATCCTCTTCTCTTTTTTATCTCTTTTCGCCTCGTATCTCTGTTAATTCCTCTTATTTTCTTCCATTCTGTTTTACTACATTCTTCATTACCTTCTCTCTCTCTCTCTTCCGTTTTTCCCTTCTTTATTTCTAATTTTTTCTCCCACTTTATTTCTCTGCTACTTTACTCATTCCCGCCTTTATTTCTCTAACTGTACCCTCCTTCTGTTTTTCTCTCCTCCCTTTCTATCTCATTTACTTATTTCACTTTCCTTCGGTCTTTACGCTGACTTCTTTTCTCATTCATTACCGTACCAGTGACGAAGTTCCTGCAGCAAAGACAGTGGCTCGGTCAGAGCTTAATTCTCTTAATCATGCGCAACTTTACCTTAGCACTCGCTCAAATTGATAGGTTTATTTGTTTTTGCTACAGCCCGCATCTTTATCGTTCATTGTCGGCCGTATCTTCACTAATATCTGCAACAGAACTCTTGGCACCGTCGACGGGACTCGACTTCTGCAAAATCAAAATTATGTCCGAACAAAGTTTTCTTCTTTACTACTGAACTTCTAGTACCCATGGCTCAGCGTTGAAACTACCCCATCCCTCTATCACCCACCCCTATTTCTGTCATTTTTCTGAAAATGTATCAGCAGCTTTATAAAGGATAGTTCTACCTAGGTCAGTGTCAACCGGGCACAGAAATTTCGCAAAATCACTCTATTAGACGGAGAGTAAATCAGTCTAACGTTTCAGCTGTTCACATTTCCTACTACAGGCAGCCTTGTGTTACAATTTTATCAACGGTACTCCAAATCATTCATAATGGTACACCCAAAACTCCGGGGTATAAACTGTAGCCTGTAGTAGAAATTTATTTTAACACTAGCAGAAAAATTGTAACCAACAGTTTCAACTAAAATACCATCCGAGTGGTAACACAGAAACTGTAAGAACATGCTAAAATTTCTAGACTGGTGATTATGACAGTGCCAAGATTTTACAGGATAAATAATTTTAACTACTCGGTTCTATTTTATTTTGTTTGAATAATTTAATAAACGATGTATTTTATATTCTGTATAGATTGAACGGCTACGGTGGTCTAGCGGTTAGAACGCTGGCCTTGTAATCCTGGGGTCTCGGGTTCGATTCCCGGCGGTGCCCGAATTTATAACTTGTGTTGGGCAAGGCCGTGGTCTAGGCAACACAGAGTTTTCCTCCGGGGGCTTCCCCGGTTTCTCCGTGGCATCCCAACAATTACTCCATTCACACACAGAAGAAGGCAATGGCAAACCACTTCTGGATCATCTGCCAAGAACGTATATGAACAGGTCCCAGTCCGAGAAAAGGACGGAAGGATCCTGTTCATATGGATCTGTCGTCAGACAGAACACTAAATAAATAAATAAATAGATTGAACCTACACCGAATTAAAAATTATAATAATTGTAGTGAATTAATACAAAAAATACAGTAATTTTTCACATTGTAACGATTTTAGACGACGCTAAATTCTCATTTAGCAATTATTCGCGCTGCCTAGCGTGTCAACACGCACTTCTGTCGCAACAAAAATAGGTTATAAGTTCATGAGTTAGGGTGAACACCTTTTCCGATTTTCATTCCGCCATCAGGAAGAATGAATAAAATTGAACAGAATTCGAGGATACGATTCGTTTACTCTTCTTTACAATCTTAGGTAAACTTTACCTTCAGCTCTACAGTGCATCATTTTAAGAAAAAAAAAATATCGAATTCAGTCTAAAATGTAATGGTCTGTGAGTGATCGAGGCAGCGATAACCACTTATCAAATTTTAGAATCTCATATAGGCATGTCAATGTGTACAAGAGAACATCCAGCTGCCATGAAGTATATATTTAATAAAAATACATGCAATCACTAATTCTAAACGACAGCGTCATGACGACATAAGGATTGCATTTCTAGTGGAGGTGATTCCGCAATACCGAGTCGTGGCAGCGTGAGACACACGTGTACTGAATGAAGTCGCACTGCTCAAATGTGCCCTATGAGTAATTATTCCGTGTGTTTCTTTTTCTTAAGTTTTCCCTTCATTAAAATGTCCACAGGAGAAAACCAGCGTCATTACTTTAAATTATTAACCAAGCAACCAACAGGTATTAGGCTATTTTGCTATTTATTATTTACGACGAAAAATGTATATTTTACTAAATAACACAAACTAAAACTGTGAACACATCACCTGGTTATCTGTTTCCAATCTACAAAGCTATCGACTCTGATCTCAGTAAGGCGAATATCCGATTCTTATCTCTCTCCGAAGACAGAAGAAATGTTACCTATTTCTCAATAATACCGGGTGGAATTGTGTAACCAAACATTTCAGCAGGTCAATTAGTGGACGGACAGACTGGACCTCGTAATCTTGGAGACTATCGTATGCACGTCGTGTGCATCAACTACCTCCAAGGGGCACAGTCCTTGAATAGCGAAGTCGTTTAAGAAGTCTCTGCAGTTCACCTCTGTGTTCGCAAGAAACCGTCATTCGTTCCTGTCCCGTACTAGATAATACATTCCATTATCTTCAATTTCATATTTTTAAGATACATTTTAATATTATTTCCGATCTCCAAAGTTGTCATGTCAGGTTTTCCGACTAAAATTCTATTTGCAGTTATCGTCTTTCTATCCGTGCCGGTGCACATAAACTCGTTACACGTTAATTGGTCCTGCCAAGAACAGATACAAGAACAAACACTGAGGCTGTAACCAGTGCACTCTATTCTTGGTATTTTATGAAAGTGAAAAGTACACACAC